CCAATACTGAGTTCTGGGTGTTTTGCATTTGGTTACTTTGATAACAGAAAAATGTTTATATAACTTTTAATTTTCATTTGTTTAATTTAATTGAAGCTGGGCATTGTTTTATGTTTTTGATTGCCCATTGGCTATCTGTATGTTTCTGTGAACTATTAGTCTGTAAGTGTTTAAAAATAGAAGTACCCTTGATCAAAATACCCTTGATCTTCAAAGGGGAACGTGTTGTCTTGTTATTCTCTGTTTCTATGGTATTGTCAGTCTATCCCTGTCCACTTATTCCTTCTTCTGTGCCTCCAAACATACTGAGGACTATTCTAATTTAAAAGACCTTTATAACTATAATTTTGTTTCTTCCTTTAACTTCCATATTGATAAATACTTTAAAAAAATATTTATGCATAGAAGAACTGGGGTATAGGCCACAGGTGTGGGGGGTAAGAGGAATCATCAAAGACAGAGTGGGGAGCAGAACAGGCAAATTTACTGAAATACACTGCTAAGGGGAAAAGTGACAAGACAGGAAAGGCCTGCTGAGCCATGAATGTGTGGGTTAGCTCCCTGGCCGGGGATCAAACTCAGGCTTTAGTGATGATGGTGCTGAGTCTTAATCCTGATGCCACAAAGGAGGTCCCAAATGTGTGTGTGTGTGTGTGTGTGTGTGTGTATTTGTACTTTTACACGTATACTTATACCTTTAATTTCTACACTGTGAGCTAGGACCTACTGACTTTACTTTTCCCCATTCTTTGAACTAATATATACTAAGTGTTAACTATATGCAAGATGGTTCTAGTTGCAGGGAATGTAGGAGTGAACAAAATAGATAAAAATTCCTGTCCTCATGGAGTGCACATTTTAGAAAGGGGCAACAGTAAGTAAAATGTATAGTAGGATCGATGGCTTTAATAGGGTAAAGAGAGAAAGATTTACTGAGGTTACTTTTGGGCAAAGATATGAAGGCAGGAAGAAGAGTAAGCCATGTGGGTATCTGGAGGTAGGAATTCCAGGCAGAGAGTTCATGTACGAAGTCCCTGAAGCAGTAGCATGCTTACTATTTGGAAGAAAAACATAGAGCTAGTGTGTCTGGAGCAATTTGAGTGAAAGGAAAGAAATGTAGGAGATGAAGGGGGAGAAATAATGGAAATGTCTCCAGAGCTGATGTTGTAGTCCTGTGTCTGAAAGCTGAAAACATAGGCAAATTTTTATGTTGTGGTCTGAAATCAGAATTCCTTTTTTGAGAAACCTTGGTCTTTGCTCTTAAAGTCTTTAGCTGTTGACTGAGGCCCACCCACATTATGCAGAGTAATGTGCTTAACTAAAAGTCTGATCATAAATATTAATCATCTCTAAAAAATAATTTACAGTAACATTTAGACTTGTGTTTGCCCAAACTGGGTGCCCAAATACAGTGTAGCCTACTAACACATGACACCATGATCACATGTGAAGTCCAGATCAACGGGAACTTTGAACACCATTGTAAGAACATTGTAAGAACTCTGAGTGGATAGTAAACCATTGTAAGATTTTGATTAGAGAAGTGCTATGATCTATTTCAAAACAGTCAACATGACTGATATTGTGAGCATAAATTGTAGAGGAACTGGGAGACCAATTAGAAAGTGCTTGTTATTCAGGCTTATAGATGATGGTACCTTGGCACTGGGGGTCATAGCCATGAGGATGGTGAATTTTCAGATATTTTGTAGAACCAGATGTTTTTTCCCACAAATTGAATTTGGGATGTGAGAGAAGAGTTAGTGATGATTCTAAGGTTTTTAAACTGTCACTGGGATTGCTATTTACTGAGGTGGGGAAGGTTCTGGGAGGAGCAAAGTGAGAGGAAAGATCAGGGATCTTTTTTTTAGATCTAAATCTTTGATTTAGATATTTTTTTTTTTAAAGATTTATTTATTTATTTATATAAGCACTGGGTACAGTCAGAAGCGCGGGAGGGTGAGCAGAACAGGCAGACTGACGAAATACACTGCTGAGGGGAGCAGCGGGCGGCAGGAGAGGTCTGCGCACCATGTGGGACCCTCGCCTGGCAGCCGGGGATCGAACCGGCGCTGCAGAGGCTGCGGGCAGCTTGGCAACCCAGCGCTCAACCGTTGCGCCACTAGGGAGACCCCTTGATTTAGATCTTAAGTTTGAGATACCTGCTGGATAATCAGATAGAGTTGTTCAGTAGTTAGATATAAAAGTCTGGGGTTCAGTGGAGAGTTCTAAACTGGATATATGAATTTGGGATTGTCACTGTGTAGTCAATATACTTAAATTTCTGTTAAGGCAGGAAACTGGGTGAGATCACCATGGCAGTAAGTACAGATGATTAAACCCACGGTTAAAGGTTGGGGATATTGAAAGAAATGAACATTTATTTATTCCCATTATATCTCTGAAATATCTTTCCCTCACTAAACTGCCAATTAAAGTAAATCCTAACACTAACAGGATTGGAAAGGAATTCCTCAGAGTAGCATGTGCTCTTAGCAAGCTTGCCTCTTCTTCCCTTATATATCAACTGCCTATGAGACCTATTCCAGGAGAAGGCTACAATTTAAATGGATAGCACCCTTCCATTATGAGACCATTGGGAATTTTCCATCATACCTTTTATATCCCTGTTTATCTTATACTCTACATATAGGACTCTTCATTCCCTGTATTAGCTCATTATTAAGTTAAACTGCTGATGAAATAACTTAGCATGGTAAAACTTTGTTCTGTATCACTTAAAAGTATACATAGGTGATTCGGGCCTTATATGACCCCCCACCAAGTCACTTTCTGTCTTGTTGCATGACCTTGATGGCATTGCAGGAAGAGTGTTACTCTTTTTCAGTTTGGTCAACCTCCATCCTGACAATCTGTGTTTTGTTTTTTTTTTTTTTTCAGACTATCTACACTAACCGTTTAAAAATAAAAGTCGGATCATATCACTCTTGCTCATAACCATCTACTGACTTCTTTTTTTTTTTTTTTTTTTTTTATAGAGGCATGTTATTTATTTATTTGTTTGTTTGTTTGTTTTGTTTATACATGCACTGGGTACAGTCAGAAGCGCAGGAGGGTGAGAGAATTCACCAGAGCCAGAGCGGGGAGCAGAGCAGGCAGAAGGACTGAAGTACACTGCTGAGGGGAGCAGCGGGCGGCAGGAGAGGTCTGCGCGCCATGTGGGACCCTCCTCCGGTGGCCGGGGAGCAGCCGGGGATCGAACCGGCGCTGCAGAGGCCGGTTAGCTTCGCAACCCAGCGCTCAACCGCTGCGCCACCGGGGAGGCCCCATCTACTGACTTCTTAGTGAAACTTTTATTGTAATTTCCAAGCCACTCTGTGGCTTTCAGTTCCCAATTTCCTGCCACTTCACTCACTGTTTTAGCCATACTGTCCTTCATGATCTGCTTAGCCTTAAAAGGATTACTGACTGTTGTATTTAATAGAGTTTGAAGGACTAAGTGTAGGACCAGGAAGATCAATTCTGAGGTTACTGCAGTAATGTAGGCAAGGAGTGATGATGGCTTTGGACTACGAAGGAGATGCTGAAAAGTGGCCCGATTTGGAGGATACTTGGGTAGTTGGACTGTCAGAGTTTGCTAGGCACATTTTTTCCCTCTTTAGCTCCATGAATGTCTTCCCCCAATAAATCAAAGACAATTTGTAAATGATTTTTAATAGCAAATGCATAATTATTCCCCCCTGCTTTCTAGATAAAGTTGCAAAATAGAGAAAGTTATCTATACTCTAGAATTTTCTTTCTATTATCGCTTCCCCAACCCTTATGCCTCCCAAATATCGCTGCCTTTGAGCAGATCATCCCTTACTCCCATCAGCCTAATAAATTTTAAGAATAAGTGAAAAAGTGCTTTGGCACCTTGCGGATCTAAAATTCTTTCTGAATTCCAGGAATGAGAAATTATCTAAAGGAGGCCTACTGAATCTGTATTCAAACACCTCCTTTGATATGGTTAGCAAAAATTTTCCACTTGGCACCAAGTTCTTTTTTTTCTTTAGTTATACTTTCATTTAATCTTTTTCTTCTTGGGTTTGCAATAATACTCCTGTAACTATAAATGGGATTCAGACAATTGAGCATTTTCTTGATTTGTATCCTTTTTTTTTTTTTTTTAAGATTTATGTATTTATTTATGAATACAAGAACTGGGGTACAGGCCAGAGGTGTAGGGGGTGAGAGAATTCACCAGAGGCGGAGTGGGGAACAGAACAGGCAGATCTACTGAAATACACTGCTGAGGGTAGCAGTGGGCGAGACAGGAGGGGTCTGCTGTGCCACGTGGGTAGCTCCCTGGCCAACTGGGGATCTATCAAACTCATGCTGCAGAGGCTTTGGATAGCTTTATAATGCTGTGCTTAACCCCTTGCGCCACCAAGGAGGCCCCATCATGATTTTTTTAGTATAGCTCGTGTAAGGGATTTATTACCTCTTTCTTAAATAATTTACTTATTTTTTTCCCATTGCCACTGCAGCTAACATATTTGTTTCTCAGTGTTTTTTTTCCCACAATAGACTATAACCTCAGATTGGACCTCTAGGTTGATGTCATCACATTCCCTTTTAGGTTCCCTAGTTAAAGGCCATTAAAATTTTATCTGAACCCTGAATCAGAATTTGGGAATTTATTCTAATGTTTATTCTATTGAGTAGGACCAATAATGACCTGTCATTGAGGGGCTCCCAGCTTATAGAATCTTATAATTGGGCCTCAGAACACCCTTTGGAAATTATTTACCTAACCAGGTTTAATGGTATTCTGTATTTGTATGAATGTTTCAGGCAAGTTGTAGAGTACCTTTGAAGTTCAAGGCAAGGCCTCATTCACCCCTTATGCAGGACTAGTACACTGACTAGTTTTCTTCCTTTTCAATTTATTTGATGTCAGCGGAATTGAAGGAGTTTGTGTTCCTTGCTTCTGTTTTTTTGTGTACATGTGTTTGTTTTTAATGCATATTTTATATATCCCCCCTTTTATTTTATAGTGAATGTAATCAAACAGCATTTAAAAAGTTTGCTGAGAAGTGGAGACATGAGACTGAAGATATCGCTTTTAAAAGAACCGAAGCATATCCTTTTAATACAAGTCCTATTTGAAATGTTCGGCGCGGTAAAGACAAGGAGAGCCAGGCTACATTTCTCAAAGGGAGGGAAAGTTTATTGCGCCCCGGGCGGACCTCACAGACCCAAGGCGGGGGTCAGTGGAGTCGCGCGCGTTGTTAGGGGGAAGCAGGGTTTTATAGGGTGAGGAGAGGTCAGGTGGGTAGTTGGGCTCCTACGGGGGGGAAAAGTTTGTAGGGCAGGTAGAGGTTCTTTGTCTGAGATGAGACTCTTGTCCTCCAGGCAGGTATTCACATTCCTGCCCCCCAGGTGGGCTTCCGGGTAGGCTTTTGCATTGTGGCCTGCTGCATGGACCTTTCACTATTGTGATCATCTTACTGTAGTAAAAGTTTTATTTTGTATGCTAGTTGGAGAATTGTTTTTTTCATGCCTTTTTAATGGTAGTTTAGCTAAATTGTTTCTGAGATATTTGAGATAATATGTTACAGGTAATTCTCTAAAGCATACAGTTTGCTCAAATTTTATTCCAATTGTTATTGGCCTTTTTCTTGTTCTACATAAGTATAGTCCAGTAGGATCTTAAAGAGAATCTTTTTTAACCAGATTTCTTGGCTGGTTTGACCTGGTGTATTTTCATTGGATTCTACCCTAGTTCTTCATACTCAGGATAACGTGGAAGACAAACTGGGAAAATTTGGTTAGATCTTTATTATTTCACATGGGCCCATGGCAATTATAAATATTTTCTCAAACACAAGACCCTATATTTTGTTTGAAAGAATTCTCATATATGTGCTTGGACAATATGATTGGGTCCTCTACCTTCTTTCTTAGTTACTTGGACCAGTACCTCTTAAAAGTATCATCTGCAGACTTTATTGGAGATCTGGGATCAGATGAGTTCTGAATATTACAATCTCACTTTATTATCTATTTGTGCAAACTCTTAAGATATTCCTATAATTTTTAAGTTATTTGCATAGTCTATCACATTTTGAAGTTTTTTTTTTTTAATGGTAGTTTTTTTTTTTAAAGATTTATTTTTTATTTATGCTTACAAGAACTGGGGTATGGGCCAGAGGAGAGAGGATTCACCAGAGACAGAGTGGGAAGCAGAACAGGCAGATCTGCCAAAATACACTGCTGAGGGGAGCAGCTGATGAGACAGGAGAGGTCTGCTGCTCCATGTGCATTAGCTCCCTGGCAGGGGATCGAACTTATGCTGCAGTGGCTGGCGATAGCTGGAGATTGCTGAGACATTAACCCCTGCACCACCAGGGGTTAAAAAAAATCTTATTAACATCCCAGAATAATTACGGCACATTGTCTTGTTTTCCTTGGAAAGAGTTTATTGGTTACTCAGATAAGCCAATAAAAACCTTTGGTGAGAAAAGGAGGAAGTAAAGTGATTATACCATAACAATGTCGAGAATGTCGAGTGATATAGAAATCTAGATATGAGCAAGAGAAAATATTCATTGTAAATGACACTCTGATGGGGGAAGTAGGGGCCACTTAACTCCTTTTTTCTTTATAGGGGCCAAAAATTTGAGTTAAAGTAAAAATTTTGGGTTTATATCATATCCAGCATTCTGTGCCTTGTAGATCCACTAAGTTGTCATTGAATTATTTCTTGAATTTATTGTCAAAATGTTTGGTAAGTGTTTTGTTTCAAGCAGTAGGTCTTCTCCTGTTTAAATTGATATTATAATGTAAATTTAAGCATGTACTTTACTGTTATGATTTCAGTTTTCTTTTAACACCTAATTTTTTTACTTATCAAAATAATACATGTTTATTCTAATTTAAATGATACTGATATATGTAATAAAAAGAACATAGTTTCCTTTTCTCTCTATCAGTTTAGTGTAGATCCTTTTATACCTTTTGGACTATTAGGTGTCTTTTTTTTTTTATCTTTTGGCCTTGTTTATGGAATATTTTATAACATATAACTTAAAAATTTTTCATCATGAAATCTTTTTTCTTTCTTTTGGCTTCTGGGTCTTTTATCTTGCTTTCTATTCCCTTTTTTTTTTTTTTTTTTTTAAAGATTTATTTATTTTTTTAAGCATTGGGATACAGGCCAGAGGTGCGGGAGGGTGAGAGAATTCACCAGAGACAGAGCAAGGAGCAGAACAGGCAGATGGACCATAATACACTGCTGAGGGGACCAGTGGGTGAGACAGGAGAGGTCTCCCGTGCCATGTGGGAACCTCCCTGGCCGGGTGGGAATCAAAACTGCGCTGCAGAGGCTGCGGACAGCTTCATTGCGCTGCGTTCAACCCACTGTGCCCCCGGGTAGGCCTGCTTCCTTTCTATTCTTACAACTGTTTTTGACACTTATTTTCCTTCATATGGAAAAAATATAAAAATGAAAATGAAAAATACATTTAGAAACTTGGAATGTTTGATCCTATTTTATTTCCTCCTAAGCTACATCTAAAAATCTATTTATTATAAGACCTTTGTATCTTGTATCTCCTTAACATAGTGTCACATCAAGAATTAGTAAGCTGTGTGGGCTGGACTACTGCCGAAGAACTGTATTCATGTAGTGATGATCACCAGATAGTGAAGTGGAACCTGTTAACCAGTGAAACAAGTCAAATAGTAAAACTTCCTGATGATATTTACCCAATAGATCTTCACTGGTTTCCAAAAAGTTTAGGCGTAAAGAAACAGACTCAAGCAGAAAGTTTTGTCCTCACAAGTTCTGATGGTAAGTTTTAAATAAATATATGTATTCAATTGAATTTTAAAAACATAATATATTAGTTTGACTTATTCTTTCCATTATTATACAAAATTGATATTTGTGGGTCTTCATACATTCATCCACACATTTTATCCATTTTCTATGTAGTCACTTGGTTTGTGTTTTGACTATAAAACTTATCATGAAAGATTAATAATGAACGTGTATCTTTGATTTTCCTTTTTCTTTGCTCTCACCAGTTTTTAAGCCCTTATCAGTTTTTTCTCATTCTTCAATTTACCTTTACAACATAACCACATTAAAAAAACATGGATATAACTGTATAATGCCTATTAAATGTACATACTGCCTATTAAATGTAGCCTTTATTTTGTAGTGCATGTAAATTTCTTATAAACACTTTTGGAAAGTTATTTGATTTGACCATAACTTTATTATTGGTGACTAGAAAGCATGACTTTTGTAATTTTTTTGAATAAGCTACCTGAAAGGGTTGTTTTCTCCGCCACCATCCCTTACACCTTTTTGAGCCTTTCTCCCTACCCCTGCCCTCTTAACCACTAAAACCTCATTTTTTTTAACATCTGCTAGTTTTTTCAAGGTTTTTCTTTTGTCATATCATCTGCGATGTAGATATCCAATGTTAGTCTTTGTCATTCTGACTTGCTTCACTATATATAATGCTCTTGAATTCCTCTATTTTGCTGTAAATGATACCATTTAATTCTTACTTATGGCTGAATAGTATTCCAGTGTGTGGATATAATGCATTTTCTTAATCCAGTCCTCTATCAATAGGTAATTAATTTGTTTCTACATTCTAGCTGTTGTAAATAATGTTGCCAGAAACATTGTAGGCAATATAATTACTTGAGTTTATAGCATCATGCCCCAAAGTGGGGTTGCTGAGGGGCCTTCCTGGTGGCACAGGCAGTTGAGCACAGCGCTGGGAAACTGTCTGCAGCCTCTGCAGTGCTGATTTGATCCCTACCAGCCTCGGAGCAAACCACATGGCAAGTAGACCTCTCCTGTCTCGCCTGCTGCTCCCCTCAGCAGTGTATTTCGTCAGTCTGCCTGTTTTGTTCCCTGCTGTGTCTCTGGTGAATCCTCTCACCCTCCCGCGCATCTGGACTGTACCCTGGCTATTGTATAAATAAAATAAATCTTTAAAAAAAAAAGATGGGGTTGGTGAGTCATAGAGTATTTCCATTTTTTAGTTAGTTTTTTTTTTTAAGATTTATTTATACAAGCACTGGGTACAGTCAGAAGCACGGGAGGGTGAGAGAACTCACCAGAGCCAGAGTGGGGAACAGAACAGGCAGACTGACGAAATACACTGCTGAGGGGAGCAGCGGGCGTGGTGGGGGAGGTGTGCGCTCCAAGCGGGACCTTCGCTGGCCGGGGATCGAACCGGCACTGCAAAGGCTGCGGGCAGTTTCAACCTCTGCGCCACCGGAGAGGCCCCATATTTAGTCTTTTAAGGAAATCCAGATTGCTGCACCATTTCCCATTAACAGTGTAATTGGGTTCCTCCTTCTTGGTGTTCCTCCCAGTGGTTGTTCTTGCAGTCATTTTAATATGTGCCATTCTCACAGGTGTGAGATGTTTTATTGTGGTTTTATTTGCATCTCCCTTACTAAAAGTGAAGTTGACCATTTTTCCATATAGATATTGACCTTCTGGATATTCTCTTTGGTTAATTGTTCAGATCTGGTGCTCATTTATTAATTGGGTTTTGTTGTTTTTTTTTTAAACTGTTTATTTATATAAGAACTAGGGTACAGGCCAGATGCACGGGAGGGTGAGAGGATTCACCAGAGATAGAGCAGGCAACAGAAGAGGCAGACAGATGAAATACACTATTGAGGGGAGCAGTGGGCTAGACAGGAGAGGTCTGCCATGCCATGTGGGACCCTCGCAGGGCTGGCCGGGATCGAACCAGCGCTGCAGAGCTGTGAACAGCTTCACAGTGCTGCGCTCAACCGCCTGCACCACCAGGGGAGGCCCAAGGTTTTGTCATTTTTAAAATGAACGCATTTTTTGTATATCTTGGGATATTAACCCCTTATCTGTTACATAATGTCTGAATATTTTCTTCCATTCAATATAATGTCTTTTGAATCTACTTACATTTATCTTTCTCTGTGTAAAAGCTTTTTAATTTGAGGTAGTCCCAGGTAATTATTTTTGCTTTTATTTCCTTTGCAGTGGGGATTGAATCTCCAAAAAAGTCTTTATTTTTGATGTAAGAAGACAGATCGCCAGTGTTTTCTTCTCTGTATTTTATTGTTGTCTGTCTTACATCCAAGTCTTCAATCCATTTTGAGGTTTTTTTTTTTTTTTTTTTTTTTTTTTTTTTGCATGGAGTTAGAGAGTGATCCAATTTCATTCTATCTTATGTTGCCATCCAGTTTTTCCACCACCATTTGTTAAAGAGGCTCTTTTTTCTATTTTATGGTCATGGCTCCTTTGCCATAAATTTATTATTAATATATGTGTGTTTGTTTATTTCTGGGGCATTCAGTTCTGTTCCATTGAGCCATGTGTCTATTTTTTTCCAATACAATATTTTTTTTTAAAAGATTTATTTATACATTCAAGAACTGGGCTACAAGCCAGAGTTGTGGGTGTGTGTGTGAGAGGATTCACCAGAGATAGAGTGGGGAACAGAACAGGCAGATCGACTGAAATACACTGCTGAGGGAAGCAGCGGGCGAGTCAGGAGAGGTCTGCCGCCCCATGGGGGTAGCTCCCTGGCCAGGGATTGAACTTGTGCTGCAGTGGCTGCGGATAGTTTCATAGGTTACGTCTTAGCCTCTTGCGCCACCAGGGAGGCCCTCCAATACAATATTATTTTAATTACTATTGCATTATATATAGTCAGGAAACATGGTACTTCCACTTCTGTCCATTTTTTTGAGGATTGCTTTAGCTATTACTTTAGTCTCTTGTAGCTTCATATTAACTTCAGTGAATTTTGTTCTATTTTCTAAGAATATCATTTGCATTTTAGTGGAAAGTGCATTAAATCTACATAATGCTTTTAGTAGGATAGTAATTTTGATTATATAGTTTCTTCCCATCCATGAGTATGGAATATCTTTCCATCTTTTTATGTCTTATTCCTTATCCTTTAGTAGAGTCTTAATGGTTTTCTTTTTTTTAAAGATTTATTTATTCATGCATACAAGAACTGGGGTACAGGCCAGATGTGCAGGCGGGCGAGAGGATTCACCAGAGACAGCAGGGAACAGAACAGGTAGACTGACTGAAATACACGGCTGAAGGGAGCAGTGGGCAAGACAGGAGAGGTCTGCTGTGCCCTTGGGCATCTCCCTGCCATAGGGGATTGAACCCGCCCTGCATAGTCTGTAGACAGCACTGCACTCAACTGCCTGAGCCACCAGGGAGGCCCAAGTCTTAATGGTTTTCATTGTGTGAAGTCCTTTACTTCCTTGGTTAGAATAGTTTCCAGGTATTTGATTCTTTTTGATGTGATTGTGAATGGAATAATTTTCTTAATTACTTTTTCTTCTCCCTCATTTGTATATAAAAATTGTACAGATTTTGTAAGCTGTCATATTTTGTGTTCCCTTATTATTTCTTTTTTTTTTTTTAAGATTTATTTATTTATTTATTTATACAAGAACTGGGGTACAGGCCAGATGCACGGGAGGGTGAGAGGATTTACCAGAGACAGAGCGGGGAACAGAACAGGCAGACAGATGAAATACACTGCTGAGGGGAGCGGCGGGCGTGACAGGAGTGGTCTGCCACACCATGTGGGACCCTCACTGGCCAGCCAGGATTGAACGGCACTGTAGAGGCTGTGGACAGCTCCACAGTGCTGTGCTCAGCCACCTGCGCCACCAGGGTAGGTCCTCCCTTATTATTTCTAATAGCTTTTTTTGGTGGAGTCTTTGGGATCTTCTATATGTAGTTTCATGTTGTCTGCAGACAATGATGTTTCACTTCTTTTCCAAGGTGGATTTCTTATATGTCCTAGTATTATCTGATTGCTCTAGCTAAAAGCGCTAATACGAAATTAAATAGATTTGGTGGCAGTAGGCATCCATGTTTTGTTTCCGATCTTCAAGGGAAAGCTTTCAATTTTTCACTATTAAGTATTATAAATTTATGATAAATTCTTACTATGTTGAGGTAGGTTCCTTCTGTTTCCATCTCATTAAGAGTTTGTCATAAATGGTTGTTGAATCTAGGCAAATGCTTTCTTTGCATTTGTTGGTATTATATGATTTTTATATTTTCTTTTATTGATATAATGTATTACATTGGTTAATTAATATAGATTAGGTCATCCTCGCATCCCTGGGATATGCCCCACTTGATTATGATGTATAGTCCTTGTAGCGTATAGTTGAATTTGAAATGTTAGTATTTTACTGAAGATTTTTGCATCAATATTCATTGGGGAGATAGGCCTGTGGTTTCTTTTCTTGCGCTGTCTTTGGTTTGGGTATTAATGTTGCCATCATAAAGTATATTAGGGAGCATTCCCTTTTTCTGGAATTTTAAAATAATAAAAAAAAATAGAATTTGTTTTTAAAGCTAGACCTGAGCTTTTGGTAGGGGGAGATTTTTGATTGTTTCAATTTATATGACTGTGATTGATTTCCTTAACTCTGTTTTGGTTCAGTCTTGGTAAACTATATTTTAGAAATTGGTCCATTTCTTCAAGGTTATTGAATTTATTGATATATAGTTATTCATAGTAAGCTTTCATGATTCTCCGTTTTTCTATGCTATCTGTGGTAATGTCTTCTCTTTCATTTCTAATTCCATTTTTGGATGCTTTCTCTCTTTTTTTTTGCTAGCCTACCTTAGAGAGTTATTAGTTTTATTTTCTCAAAGAACAAACTTATATTGATTTTTGTATAGTCTTTTTATTTTTATTTCATTTCTTTCCACTCTAGTTTTTATTATTTCCATCCTTCTACTAACTGGGTCTTGTTTATTCCTCTTTTTCAGGGTGCCTTAAGTGT